CTGAAGCTTTTGGAGAGTCAGAATTTGAGAGCTGGTGGGTGAGAAATTGCGATCTCTCCCTGATTATTCACCTCCTCCAACCTATATTTTTAATTCACCCACTCTTAATTCTAATCTTCCCTCCAAGCAATTTTCTAAAACTCAAGAAGCCAATTGCTATCTTATCAGCTTTCTGAGGCTCCCTCAAACTCGGTCTAATGTAGAAAGGAGATAGTAAAGTCTGGATAATCCCCTTATCCTACTTAACCATAAACCTAATTTTCTAACCAAGTTGACAGAAAAAGAAGATGTATCTAGGCATTAAAAAAAAAAGTTCAACCTGTAAGAAGAGATAGCACAAATTTCCTAGGTTCGAAGCCCAGCTCCATCCCTTACTAACCTTGGACACTTGCTCTGTTCCTCATTTCCTCTTCTCTGAAATGAGTATAATGATTATAACACATAGGTGCTGCGAGGGCTACTTAAGTCAGTACGTGTAAAGCCCTTAGAATAGTACCTGGCACGTGCAAATCTATAATGGAGCATTGTAGATTTTGCCACACACTAGATTACCACAACGGCCTATCTGGTCTACTGCCCTTAATCTTTCCTTGCATCTAACCCATCCTCCCATGATTAATCTTTCTCATTCACCATTAAGTCTCCCTTCTCCCATCTTAAGGAATATATTACCTATTGCAAGAACTCTAAATTTCTTGGCTTAACATTAAGACACTTCTCATCAGTTCCTTCCAACTCTATCCAACCACATTACCCAATACTTCTAAAAAAGGGTTTCTTACTCTCGACACTACAGACTTTTGGGGCTGGATTATTCTTTGTTGTGGGACCCTGTCCTGTACCTCATAGGATGTTTAGCAGCATCCCTCTCCTCTGCCACTAGATGCCGGTAGCAACCCTTCAGTTGTGACAACCAAAAAACGTCTCCAGATATTGTCATATGTTGCCTTGAGGATAAAAATCTCCCCTAGTTGAGAACCACTGCTCTACAAAGACCCCTCTCTTGCTGTGCTTTCCTTACCATTTCTCAAATGTACATGGACCAACCTCACTTTGTTTCTTTTACTCAGAGTATATTAATGATTTTATTGTGGTAAAATATACATAAAATTTACCATTTTAAGTGTACAATTCAATGGCATTAAGTATATTCATGTTGCTGTGAAATCATCACCACCATCCATCTCCATACTTTTTCATCTTCCCAAACTGAAATTCTGTATTCATTAAACAATAGTTCCCCACTCTTTCCTCCCCTAACCCCTGGCAACAACCATTCTACTTTCTGACCCTATGGATTTGACTACTCTAGGTACCTCATAGAATTGGAATCATAGAATATTTGTCCTTTTATGTCTGGCTTATTTTACTTAGAATAATGTCTTCAGAGTTCATCCACGTTGTAGCATGTGTCAGAATTTCCTTCCTTTTTTAAGGCTGGATAATATTCCATTGTATGTATATACAACATCTTGTTTATCCATTCGTCTTTCAATGGGCATTTGGGTTTTGGCTTTTGGCTATTGTGATTAATGCTGCTATGAACAGGGGTTACAAATATCTGTTCAAGTCCCTGCTTTCAATTCTTTTGGGTATATACTCAGAGGTAGAATTTCAGAATTGTATGGTAATTCTATGTTTAATTTTTTCAGGAAGCACAATACTGTCTTCCACAGTTGCTGTACCATTTTACATTTCCATCAGCAATGCACAAAGGTTCCAATTTCTCCACATCCTCACCAACACTTGCTATTTTCCATTTTTTTGATAATAGACATCCTAATGGTATAAAGTGGTATCTCAATGTGCTTTTGACTTGCATTCCCCTAATGATTAGGGATGTTGAGTATCTTTTCATATGTTTAGCAGTCATTTGTATATCCTCTTTGGAGAAATGTCTATTCAGGTCCCTTGCCCACTTTTTGATGTGATTTGTTTGTTGTTCTTGTTGTTGTTGTTGTTACATTGTGGGAGTTCTTTATGTATTCTGGATTTTAATCCCTTATCAGATATATGATTTGCAAATATTTTGTCCCATTCTGTTAGTTGCCTTTGTACTCTGTTGATAATATCCTTTGATGCACTGAAGTTCAAAGTATATTAATTTTTAATAAAAAAATTAAGTGCCATAAAGTTTTTGAAAGAGATGTCCCAAAACAAACATAAACCGGCAGTATGTTATTTAGTACTATTCACATAAAATGTGTATTAGTTTTCTATTACTGCTGTAACAAATTACCACAAACTTAGTGGCTTAAAACAATAAAAATTTATTATCTTTTAGTTCTGTAGGTCAAAGTTCTGAAATGGGTCTTAGAGGACTAAAATCAAGGTGTCAGCTAACCTGCATTCCTTCTGGAGGGTCTAGAGAAGAATATGTTTCCTTGCCTTTTCTAGCTCCTAGAGGCCAGCCACATTCCTTGGCTCATGGCCCCCTTCTTCCATTTTCAAAGCCAGCAACACTGCATTGCCCTCTGACCATTGTTTCATAGCCACATCTCCCTCTGACTCTCATCTCAGTCAGGAAAGGTTCTTTTAAGAATTCATTTGATTAGGTTGGGCCCATTCAGATAATCCAGGATAATCTCCCCATCTCAAGGTCCTTAACCTTAATCACATCTGCAAAATTCCTTTTGTCATGTAAAGTAGCGTTTTTACAGGTTCTAGAGATTGGAGATCTTTGGGGGCCCATTATTCTGCCTGCCACAAAGTAAAAAATGTGAAACATAAGTAAACCTGGAAATGGTATTATATGACTTTCTGAACACATTTTCTCCCTCTCATTTTGGCCAAGCAGCATGATAACTCTTCATCCTCTGGACTTTTGGGTGCTAACTGAATTTCTATAGACTCTTGTGACCATCTGCTTTACTGACCAAGATATTTCATGAATTCACACTCTCTTTTCTGGTTTAGAATAATTGATATCAGAAACAGATGGGGTGAAATCTTTCAAAGTTTTATCATAACTTTAGCAAAGAAAGTTAGAAAAATCTAGCACACTTGAAATGCTACCTCCATATTAAGTATTAGTATTAGTATGTACACTATGTGTATATTAAGTATACATATTAATTAGTGTGTTAATTACTTATATACTTATGTAAGCCATGGTTGTTCAGCCAAAAGTGGGCAATGGGATTTTCTCTTAAGTATTAGTGCCCTGGAGATGCCTGGTACTAGACAGTGGAGGCAGGGCCATCATATATAATAATGTAGGTTGTTTTTAGCACTGGGTACCCAAAATCCATCTCATGCTCCATCCTCAATTCATGCTCCTTGAACTATGTCTGTCTAGAAGAAGAGGCACTTTTTTTCTGGTTTTCACAAAGGTGCTTTATGAACTAGTGGCGGCTGACCTGGAGGGCATTCAGAAGAAGGGAAGGATGCACCTTTGGCAGCACCTTACTGGGACACAGTTAGCCATACTTAGGACATTGAGAGAAGCTACACATATACTCTCCAAAGTATTATAGTTCACTGATGGAAGAGTATGGAACAGACAATAGAAATATATAACACCTACCCCTCCATGTATGGCTGAAATAGTCTATACAGATAGAATAGGCCAAGGCGGAGTCAAGCTCTGACAGAGTCCCATATGTAGACATCAATCTATCACGGCCACCTTAGCTTCTATCCTCCATTCTATTTCCATTTTCAGCCAGGTCTACCATGAATTGTTCATTTTAACTCAATAGTCCCTTTACCAACAAACATACATACAGCATCATATACAGCTGCTTTCTGACAGAGATATAAAAATATCAGTTTGTACCTAAAATACCTCCCCATGTGACAAGAAGCTCTACCAAAGTAAACCCAACTTAAATAGAATCAATTGTTTTTAAGCATCTCATCTTATTTAATATCAAAATATATTTGACTAATCTCGACATCAGCCAGTTTGGAACTACACACTAGCCATCAAGTCTGGAGACATAGGTTAATAAAGGATATATTGATATTATAATACATAATAAAATAATGTTAGTATGTTTCCAGATGTGTGGCCACCCTGTAGACAAATAAAGAGGTAGAAAGAGAGTCAGAGAGAGAAAGAGGGGGGACAGATAGAGGCAAAGAGAGAGAAAGATGCAGTGGAAATCACCCAGCATAACCTCATATCCAAAGATAACATTCATCATCATCAAAAGAATTCTCTGAGATGCTTTTTGTTAAGAGCCCACGATTTGCTTGTTCCCATGCAAAAATGCACTATTCAGACACTGACAAACAATATCTAAGAATCCCTAGTAGAGATAATGCTATACCATTGGCTTGTCATTCATTTTAAGGACTTTTTATTGTGGAATAGGAAGGATCTGATAGAAATGATTACGGTTCTGTAGAAATATATATTTCAGTAAAATCACACACATTTCTACAGATCCATACACTGAATGTCTGTTTCTTTTAGAAAATCATGTACAAATAAGTGTTGTTGGAAAGAAATGTATTGGAATTCATTTTCAAAATCTTTCTTTTCCTTTTGTATACATCTTAGAAGAAAGGAATTGCAATCCTTTACAGAGGCAATGAAGTGAGAGCTTACCCCCCAACTCCAGGATTTTGAGTAAAAGTAAATTCTAGCTCAATATTCAGTGGACAAATGTGTAGTTCACAGCCTGCCCACAGCTTACTTGTTGGGATTTCCAAGATCCTGTCCAGCCTCTACCCATTCATGTAGCCATATCTCTAAGTGCACTCAATTTCCCACTGTTCCCTGAATTTTCTGACCTCTATCCCTTTGGACAATCTCTTTCCACTGTCTGGAATTTCCTTGCTCTCTTATCTACCTGATGAGCTCCTATTCATCAATTAAGGCCCAGCTGAAATGCCATGTCTTATTAGTTTCTCTGAACCTTCTTACCCCTACTGTAACTGCAGAATTATTGACTTCCTATTTGTGTTTCCAAAGCAATTATATTACATTTGTCTCTATTATAGCACCTATAACAATGCATTATTATTTGTGTACATGTACATACACCACTCACCTCTAGATAGAGCTTCTTGAAGACTGGGTTTGTTCTTCATTTTTCCGGTACTCAGAGGCTAGTACCTTACATGGCATAGTCTGGTGAATAGAATTGAATAGAGGAAACACATAAGAGATGAACTTTCTTTTCCCTGAGATGATATCCGTCACAGAGAATATAGAAATATCTTTACAAGACCAATAATGAGCTTAATGGTACTTAATATCAATTATGTTCAATCTTCAATTTTAGAAATAGCTTCAGATTTGGGGTTTTTTACCAATGGCAGTTAAACAAAGATATTAAAGGAAATTTTATTGCAGCAATTCCTCAAGTTGAAACAGGTTTGAGAACAAATCCAATTTAAATACATGCCATTTACTTCTATTTACCTATAAGATGTTTAAAATGGAACACTTAGGAACAGAATTGTAGAAGTCTCCCTCTTCAATTGTGAATTATGAGGAAGTCTTTTTTACAGCTTTTCAAACATTGTACCATAGTTGGTTATTCAAAACTTCAAATTATCTCAGATTGTTCCACCGCCATAGATTGCTAACTATAGCACTCGTTCAAATGAACCTATCCTCTGTGGAAAGCTCTGGTTCCACTGGATTGGCTGTAGACTTCCCCAAGATGACACAAATTAGAACAATTTCCCCAGGTCTTGCTCTGTACAACTCCATGCTCCCATGGTGATGTGCAGCAACTCAGGACACCAGGTGATGAGAAAGGCTGTACCTCCTGCAACTGGGTTTATTTTAAGGCCTGAAGCAGGCAAAGATCTTTAAAATGATAATAACCAGTTAGTGAAGTTGTGAGGAAACTGGTATTGCTATAATATTTTGATGAAGTTTGGTAGTGTAAAATAATAAAACTAGTCAGGAGAGCCAATGCAAGACTATATCAAGAGCTTTTTAAATGTTGGGACTCTTTTCTATTTCATCCCTAAAACTCTCCTATAAAGATGTGAATGATGATGTTTCTAGCTGATCTCTGAGTCCTTGCCATGTGTAACACTTGGACTTCTTTGTGCCATTTGCTTTCTAAAGAGTAAGTTCATCCTTGGTTTACCCAAAGGACCTTGAAGCAGGGCCTGTTATTTATGTGGCTGGCATGGCTGCTTTTCCTCTGGAGTCAGTTTTTCTCTCACTTGAATGGTTATGTGAGTATATTTAGTCAATATTTGAGTATCTTGATCATATTTTCGTGCACTTTTAGAATAATGCATTTTGCTTTGTATCATTTGTAGCACTAAACATAAAACCAGGCTTGATTGCAGAGTAAATCCAATTGAGTTGTTCAGCTGATGGCGTTTGGGGAAAAAGAAAAGAACTGGACTTGGAAATTGGCCCTCCTTTTTTTTTTTTTGTGAGGAAGATCAGCCCTGAGCTAACATCTGCCAATCCTCCTCTTTTTGCTGAGGAAGAGTGGCCCTGGGCTAACATCCATGCCCATCTTCCTCCACTTTACGTGGGACACTGCCACAGCATGGCTCGACAAGCAGTGCGTCAGTGCACACCCGGGATCCGAACCGGCGAAACCCGGGCCACCGCAGCGGAGCAAGTGCACTTAACCACTTGTGCCTCCAGGCTGGCCCCTTGGCCCTCCTTTTCTAAGCTGTATAATCCTTTGTTCAGAGGAAATCTTACACAAATGTGAAAATAAATGCTTTTTTAAAAAAGTCAGAGCATCTGGGATAGGCGAATGAGTCAAAAGTCTCGAACATCATGTAGGCCCCACCTTACCCCTTCCTTGCTCCTGGGTCTCCCATGAACACACTATGAAAAACACTGTTTTATTGTCTGTCTATAAGTTCTCGATTGAGAATTGAAACATCTTGTTTGGGGTTCTCTATATTTTAGTACAAAGAACTTCCATTTCAAACAGCACTTCTTATATAAAGACCAAGAGAAATGCATAAATGGACATATAGCATACAGGTATATGCTGCTTTCATTTTCCATTTTTTGAGTTCATAAACAAACTGCTATTTCTCTTTTTGCATAGTTTCACTCTCTCCAGCAATTTGGATCTTCTGAGATGCCCATTTCCCTTGCCAGGACATGAGAGAAAGAGAGCAGAGCAGGACAAAGATATACGTGGACAGAAGATTAGCATGGAAGCCCTGGCTTCACCTTTATCACCATGTGACCTTTACTGAGCATCCACCTCCTCATGTCTTAATGAAACTAGCAATATCCATGTCACAGCATTGATGTTTGCATTTAATTAAATTAAATCACATAGAAAGTCCTCAATAGAAGTGCATTTCTGCTGTCCACAGTGATCACAGAGTTGGAGAATTTCGCAGCAGGTATGAAAGATGCAAGACTATCCCTAACAACTGTTGTTTTTACCACCACAAACTGATTCTCTTAAGAAACAAGGGGCCTGCCATTATTCCTCCCCTGATTTCCTGAGGAGGATGGCTTTCCTGAGAACCCGGAGCTGGTCCAGGACCCCTAAACCTGTGGACCAAATGCACCTCCCAAGATTCCAGAAGTCAAATTGTGAACTGGCATTAGCCATCCAAGTGTCCCATCATCCTTGGGACACCTGCCCACCCTAAACCTCCCCCTCCTTCTCCCACACACATACACACAGGGAACCTTACCTATCCTTTATCACATCTCTTCAGGGTACATTTATATAGCCTAAATTAATAAAAAATCCATCTATTAAAAGAGTGGTTCACCCAGACAATATCCCTGAGGAACATAGATGCAAAAATCCTCGACAAAATATTAGCAAACCAAATTCAATAGTACATTGAAGGGATCATACACCACAACCAAGTAAGATTTATTCCAGGAATGCAAGGATGGTTCAACATCCGCAAATCAGTCAATGTGATACACCACATTAACAAAATGAAGGATAAAAATAATATGATTATCTCAATAGATACAAAAAAAGCATTTGACAAAATTCAACATCCATTTATAGTAAAAACTCTCAACAAAGTGGATATAGAAGGAATGTACCTCAACATAATAAAGGCCATATAAGACAAACCCACAGCTAACATCATATTCAGTGGTGAAAACCTGAAAGCTTTTCCTCTAAGATCAGAAACAAGACAGGGATGCCCACTCCCACCACTTTTATTCAACATAGTATTGGAAGTCCTAGCCACAGAAATTAGACGGGAAAAGAAACAAAAGTCATCCAAATAGAAAAGGAAGAAGTAAAACTGTCACTATTTACAGATGATGTGATGCTATATATAGAAAACCCTAAAGACTCCACCAAAAAACTATTAGAACTAATAAATTACTTCAGTAAAGTTGATGGATACAAAATTAATATATAGAAATTGGTTACATTTCTATACACTAATAACAAGCTATCAGAAAGAGAAATGAAGAAAACAAACCCATTTACAATTGCATCAAAAAGAATAAAATACCTAGAAATAAATTTAACCACAGAGGTGAAAGACGTTTACTCTGAAAACTATAAGACACTGATGAAAGAAATTGAAGACAACACAAATAAGTGGAAAGATATACTGTGCTCATGGATTGGAAGAAATGTCTTTTTGATAATAGCAATTAAATAATATTTAATTTAACGTTTTTTAAATGTCCATATTACCCAAAGGAATCTACAGATTCAGTGCAATCCCCATCAAAATACCAATGGCATTTTTCACAGAACTAGAACAAAAAATCCTAAAATTTGTATGGAACCACAAAAGACCTCAAAAAGCCAAAGCAATCTTGAGAAAGAAGAACAAAGCTGGAGGTATCATGTTCCCTAAATTCAAACTATACTACAAGGCTATAATAATCAATACGGTATGGTATTGGCGCAAAAACAGATGCATAGATCAATGGAATAGAATAGAGAGTCCAGAAATAAACCCACGCATATATGGTCAATTAATCTATGACAAAGGAGGCAAGAATATACGATGGGAAAAAGACAGTCTCTTCAATAAATTGAAAACTGGACACGTGCAAAAGAATGAAACTGGACCACTATCTTACACCATATACAAAAATAAATTCAAGATGGATTAAACACTTGAATGTAAGACCAGAAACCATAAAACTCCTAGAAGAAAACATAGGCAGTCAGCTCTTTGACATCAGTCTTAGCAATATTTTTTTGGACCAGTCTCCTCAGGCAAGGGCAACAAAAGCAAAAACAAACAAATGGAACTACATCAAGCTAAAAGCTTTTGCACAGCGAAGGAAGCCATCAACAAAATGAAAAGGCAACCTACTGAATGGGAAAAGATATTTGCAAATCATACATCAAATAAGGGGTTAATATCCAGAATATATAAAGAACTTATACAACTTAATATCAAAAAAACAATCTAATTTAAAAATGGGCAGAGGACTTGAATACATATTCTTCCATAGAAGACATACAGATTACCAATAGGCATGAAAAGATGCTCAGCATCATTAATCATCAGGGAAATGCAAATCAAAACCACAATGAGATACCACTTCACGTCTGTCAGAATTGCTATTATCAAAAAGACAAAAAATAACACGTGTTGGCGAGGATGTAGAGAGAAGGGAACCTTATACACTGTTGGTAGAATGTAAATTGGTGAAGCCACTATGGAAAACAGTATGGAAGTTTCTCAAAATATTAAAAATAGAACTGCCATACAATCCAGCAATTCCACTTCTGGGTATTTATTCAAAGAAAATAAAAACACTAATTCAAAGAGATATATGCACCCCTATGTTCATTGCAACATTATTTACAATGGCCAAGATATGAAAGCAACCTAAATGTCCCTCAATAGATGAATGGGCAAAGAAGATGTGGTATATATACACATGGAATATTAGCCAGCCATAAAAAATAATGAAATCTTGCCATTTGCAGCAACATGGGTGGACCTAGAGGGTATTTTGCTAAGTGAAATGAGCCAGACACAGAAAGACAAATATTGTATGATCTCTCTTATATGTGGAATCTAAAAAACAAAACGAACAAACAAAGCTAAACAGAAACATACTCATAGATACAGGAAACAAACTGGTAGATACTAGAGGGGGGAGGGGTTGGGAAAGCAGGCAAAATAGCTGAAGGGGATTAAGAGATACAAACTTACAGTTATCAAATTAATAAGCTGTGTAGATGTAATGTACAGCACAGGAAATACAGTCATGATATTGTAATAACTTTGTTTGGTGACAGGTGGTAACTAGATTTATTGTGGTGATCATTTTGTAATGTATATAAATATCAAATCATTATGATGTACACCTGAAACTAATAGGATATTGAATGTCAATTTTACTTCAATTTAAAAGAAATTGGTTCACTTATACATTTAGATGTTGTACTTTTGTTATTCCTATCTTCAGGTCAACCTTTTCCATTATCACATCATTTATTTACTCAAAGCCTTTCATTTCCTCTTACTTTAATTCTGATTCTAATGCCCTTGATCTCCTGGCATTACTCCCAACTATCCAAAAGTATTTTCCACTGCTCCTCGTGGGTTCCTGCCATTCAAGTCACCACTCCCCAACATGGCAGGCTCCTGGGATGACCTCTCTGCTTCTGTCCACTCCCTAAAATCGTACGCTCTCCCAAGGCCTACTCCCCAGGCTCTGAAACCTTCCCACCACTCCAGTCCTGCTAGACCTCTCCTCCTCAAACTTCCTACAACTCCTGGAAACAATAACACGTAGTTTAGTTCTTAATTAATTACTGCCTTGTCTTTATTGTTTTGTTTTACTGGTCTCATATCTGCCTTCTCTCTCCAGCTACATTATAGACTCTTTGAGACAGGAGTAATACGTGTCTGTGTCTCTCATCCCTCCTAGCACCTGGTAAGAAATGTTGGTGGCCTATGTGGCTTGCTGTGGCTGGTACTTCATTGTAAAAGTCATAGTAACTACCCCAGTGGAGGAAATTGCAGGCCAGTACAAATGCTTGGGGGAAGGACAACTTGGCCCTCAACTCCTTCAATACAGGCCACGTCCTTCTTTCCTAATAGAGGTCAGCCCTGGACACAAACTGACATTTCTGTGGCTCTGAGAATCACCATGAATTAACTCAGAGCTACATCTCACTGGAAGTTTCCTGGAAGAGGTGAGATATGCTTGACTGATACACAAGAATGACTCAGCTACCTAGAATACATGGGGAACAAATGAGACCCTGTAGTTAGATTTCCAGGTAAACAAAAATTTACTCCTAAATTTAAAGCATCATCATCTTTTGTATTTTAATTATTTGGTGGAAATTTGTGCTACCTTCTAAAATGCATAATATACTTCTCTGTTTTCTTAACTAGGCTAACATGGACTTGATTTAACAGGGATAGAGTGGCATCTCTCAAATTTTTCTGCACAACTTCTATGAGAAGAGAGTGAACATCCGTCTCCAAGAGAATAGGCATGAAATGCCCCATTTTTATCTTAAATTATTATCTAAATTTTGCATTCCATAATACATCTTTGTTTAAAAATGTAGTTAATTATTTAAATCAGTGGTTCCCTAACACTGGTTCATAGATTTGACAGTATTCACTTTGCCAAATGACCTCTTTGGGGAAGCTTTATGTCCCTCCTATTTGGTTAATGTTAAAATAGACCTCCTTTATGAAATGATGTTGGTAAATGTCTTTGACTGACCAAAATAATCAGCCCCTCCCCTTTTATTTTATTTTACTAGTCCATAAAACTCAAAAGCCTGGACCTACTATTTTAGTTTATCATAAGTGTTTTTTTTTAAGTTCCAGAAAGATGGTCTACATGAGTCCCATGTTTTCTCTACGCTGTTGCATGCTACGTTACACCCCTAAAGTATGCATCTTGATGAACCTCAGTTTTAGGGCCATGCTGGAAATCAGTATTGCTCTCAGGGCCTGCAGAAGTCAGTGGAGTTTCCGGCCCCGCACTGAAAATTCCAGACTACTATTCTTGCCATGTTTTCCCACTTGCTGTCAAGCTATACGCGGTGTATTTCCTTTCAGGTGCCTGATGGAACAGACTTTCTCTCACTTTCACATGGATTCTTATACTTTCTCATGACTAAAACACTGGATTAGCAAAGATTTTACATTGAACATAAAAATTAGAATAAATATACCTGAGTGAGTGTCTAAAGAATTCTTCTATGAATAAATGTGTGTTAGCGTGTTGACATTATATCTATTTTGGCCACTCAGAGATCTCTTTTTCTCTCTTCTGTGTTCTTAAGTGAGATTTTTGGCAGCCAAATTCTGATTAGATGAATTGTTACTAAACTAAAGTGATAGGGTAGACAATAAATATCCACTTAAATTAAGAAATAATACTTGATTGGAAAAGTTGTCTTGTTATCTACTGCTGCATTTTTAAAAAATCAGCCCCAAAATGCAGCAGCATGCAATAATAAACATTTATTCTCACGCTCACAGGTTCTAGGTCAGCTAGGATTCAGCTCATCTAAGCTGGGCCCAGCAGGCAACTCTGCTTCAGGTCATGGATCTGACTGGATGTGACTCTTTGCTGTAGGTTGGGCTCAGTTCTGTTCCATGTGTGTCCATTCTGAAATCCAGGCCAAAAGGGCAGTAGCTACCTAGGGAAGCTCTTCTCATAGTGATGCACGGAGATCAAGCCCATCTACATAAGCACGTTTCAAGCCTCTGCTTGCGGCACATCTGTTAACATCCCATTGGTCAAAGTAAGTCATATGACAAAGTCCCAGCATCAAAGGGCTGGAAAGTAGTCTTCATCCACCATGAGGTCATGGCAAAGGTGTGGATGTCTAATACCTCTACAGGAGAGTGAAGAATTGTGAGAAATTCAATCTACCACAGGCTGGATAACTTCTGACCTCAGCCACTAATCACAATGGATTTTCTGGAAAAAAAGAAAAGAGAAACTTTAAGGCAATCTCTGAAAATGAAAGGAAGGTACATTGTTGGATATAAAGTGAGAGCTTTCAAATATGATTCATTGACTAAATGACATTATTAAAAAAATGGAAAGTGGTGCTTCCTAACGTGGCAGTTGCCTTAGGATGCGTGTAAAACTGAGTTTGCTATAGGCTGGTTTTAAAAGTGATAATTTATTGCAAATTATATTGACAGTTATTGAACATAATTATTCACCACAGGAACCATCCTTAATCAATTAATCAGGGCACAATTCAACTTCACTTCTTGCATGTGGCAACAACCAATCTTTTTTTTTTTTTTTTTTTTTGCTTTTCTTCCTTTACCTACTTTGTTTGCTGTTGTTGAAACATTTTAACAAATTAATTAGATGTTAATGCTTAGCAATAAATGAAACCCTTAAGGTGCTTAAATTGTAAACGCCACAACAAAACCTGTTTATTCTGAAAGATGTTCCTCAGACTCTGAATAAACACAGATCTCCTCCAGAGATTACATCCAGAGAACGGTTCCAAAGCCCTCCTCACTGATATCAGCCAGGAGAGACATCTCTAAGGATATACCACAGGTCTAGTTCTGTTTTATTCAAATTTTAATCAAATGCTTAAAAAAAGACATAAAACGCTTGCTTTTTGAATTTTCAGCTGTCCCAATGGTGGAAAGCGTAGGTAACATAACAGACACACACAAACTTCTAAACAGGCTGAGTGATACACGGAAGCTTACAAGATAAAACTTAGTAGGGAGAAAAGTAATGCCGTGTTCTCGGTGATGGTGTACAACAAAACCCCCTGACGGTATGGGGGATATGGAGAGTGAGAGCCACTCACGTGAAAAGAATCCAGCTGGTTTGGTTAACATCCAGTAATAGAAATCAACAGGGAAATGTAACTCCAAAAACACTGGCGAATACTTGGGCTGCATGCGTTCTGTACAGAGTCCAAAATAAGAAAAGGAATGGTCCCCTCATCCTCTATCCTGGTCAGACTCCAGGGAGAATATTGTATTTATTACCAGTGTTACAGTTTTCAGATGAAATTAAGATACAGAAATGTATATACAGAAGATCATGATTATGACTAGCGTTTCAACACCGGATCATATAAAGAATGATAGGGGAAAAAAACAGACATATTGTTTGAGGAAAGGAGACATCAGAAGAGACAGGAGAGCTGCCTTTAAATATTTATAGGATTGGCCTGCGGGACAAGGATAAACATGGATTCTGAGCAGCAACTACAAAAACCTGAAAGAGGATTAATTAACAAAAAGTTCGGGAAGGCGGCTGTCAGTCCATCAGAGTCTTGGCTATCCCCTGCCTCACGGAGGTGCTCCTCTGTTATAGCCGGGCTGTGACCTAAAGTGCGTTCCAACCCCACAGTTCTAGGATTCTGTTCAGGAAGAACAGATGTGTCAAATTTGTTATTACGCTGAATTTTTTAAGTTCTTTCTTCTATTGAAAAAATCAAGTACATCTTTGCAAAATAAAAATAGAATTTTATTATAGCAGTACCAACATTTTATGCCATTCTTTATAGTTTCAAAACTATGAATATCCAATCAAACTTCATAATTGCTTTATAAATGCCTAATTAAACTATAAATATTATTAAATATATCCACGTACAATAAGGATTGGAAACATCTGGATGGAAAATGAGAAATTTAGACAAGCAGCTGGTTATTTTACCTACACAATGCTAGACACCAAGATATTCAGAAACATCAAATGGCTGATAGAATTTTGGCATGTCATCTGGATATTTGACTCTATCTTCTACTTTATTTCAAAATACTTCTTAGTTTCTCAGTTTCTCTACTTTTTAGTGGAAATATTTTATACACTCCTACTGAATAATAGCATTATCCAGTCATGGATAAAACTGTTGCTCTTTCCCTGTCAGCTGTCTCTACTCTGACCTCACCCCCTTTGCTTCACTGTTCACTGGAGCATCAGAAATGCAGAAAAAAACAAGATAGGGGGCTTTTGGAATACACCCCCTTCCTCCACCCTTCCCTTTACAGCCTGTGATGACTATCAAAAAGCCCAACCAATCTGGCTTCAGAACTCTTCACTGTGAAATGTTCCTCAAACTACCCCCACCACCCCCCCAAATGTTTCTACCTTAGATACCAGTGATCCATTTCCAATTCAGTGTCTTCTCTGACCTTAGTTTCCAGGGCACTGGCTCCCTCGATTTGCCTGATGGTCCCTGTCTTCACTGTGCTTACGGTCAAAATAATAATGATGAAAATACTAATTCCAAGTTAACGAGCACTTGTTATGTTCAAGCATTGCTGTAAGTGGTTTACATGAATTAGCTTATTTGATATTCACAACAACTCTATGAAGCAGGTTCTATAATTATTCTCATTTTGCACATGAGGAAACTGAGACAAGTAAATTTAACAATTTGCCCACATTCTCATAGACATAGCACCCTAGACCCCCAATACATATCCAGGTTTTCTCATTCGGAGCCTCTCTGTTAACCACTATGCTGTACTGTCTGTCTGATCAGTCTACTCTAATTTGCAAACATTTTGCCAAAATTCAAGTGTTCTCAAACTCATAAAAGATAGTTATAATGGATTCCTTCCATGTTTCAAGCAGGATCTGAAACCCTACCTCTTACCAGAAGACGGCATGTACTTCTTAACAGGAAGATGACATTTTGTTCTAACTGAGAAATTCTAACTGCCTTCCTAGGATAAGAGCACTTGTCCTTTGCTTGTTCTCATTGTTCTGAGTACAATATAAATGCAGCAGGTGATCTTGTACCATTTAAATACTTTTACATGTTTTATGAGGGTTAATCCACATGAATTGAAATATTTCAGTCATTCATTTAACAAATATTTACTCAACTGCTCTAGGCAATGATGACACAGCAATGAATAACACAGACAAAAACCTCTGCCTTCGTGGAACTTATATTCTGTTAGGGAGACATGGTAAGCAAGATAAATACATAAATTATATGGTATGTTAAATGTGCTAATGAGAATATAAAGGGAAGAAGGAAGATATGCAATGTCAGGGAGGGGCTTAAAATTTTAGATTATGATGTCCAGGGAAAGCATCAGGAAGAACATGACTTTTGAATAAAGACCTGTAGGAGTGAGGGATCTAGCCATGAAGATTTATAGAAGAGGAGCATTTGAGACAGGGAACAATCTAAGTTGGGCCTATGCCTGGTATGTTCCAGAAATACCAGGAAGACAGTGTGACTGGAAGAAAGAAAATGAGGAGGAGGGGGCGAGGATAGAAACAGAAGATTAGCTCATAAAGGTAAAGGATGTTGGAGGAGATGGTCCTGATCATGGAGAGCCTTACAGGCCACGTAAAGTGTTCAACTTTCATCTGATGAGTTGGGAAGCAATTGGAGAGTTTTGAGCAGAGTGACAAGATCTGACTTGTGTTTGAACAGGATTCTTTGGCTGCATACTGAGAATAGACTGCAGAGGGGCAGGGGGGAAGCAAAGAGACCAGGTATGAGGTTGTCACAATGATTCAGAAGAGAGATGGGGGTGGGTTGGCCAAGAGGTAGCAATAGAGGATACAAGAATTGATAGAATTCTGGATACATTTGGGAGGTAGAGCTGATAGAATTTGCTAACAGATGTGAGATATGAAATAAAGAGAGGAGTCAAGAAAGACAATGAGCTCTTTGGTCTGAAGAAATAGAAGAGAGTTGGTTAAAACCTCCTTGAAGAGAGAATTAGCCACACATATTCACTTAATACATAATGAATATAAATTTTAAAAGAGTAAAATGAATTGAAATTCTTCTGGAAAGTGTTAAGTATGTGTAAAGCAAAAATAGGGTAATATGAAAGTGTGTTATTAAAATATAGTGTACTTCTCCATTTAAATATGACACTGATAGCCCCAAGTACCCAGTAAATAATAGGAAAGGCTTAATTCTTTCCACAGTGATGTTCAGATAGCAGATACTGAACACAGCATTAAATATTTGCCAGAAAATCTGATAGTCAGATTTTGATATTTATTAAGGACTTTCCATATTGAGTTTAATTAAGGATTTGATTATGAATTCTACCTTGAAGGCATGATTACTACTTATCTCTTCACTCTTGGGCCAAAGAGAATTACAGATGCTGAATATCTGCATTGCAGCTATGAAATAGTCATTAGTTTGAAAAGGCATCTCTTTTCCTAGCACTGAAAATTGCCTAGAGAAATTTAACTCATTCGGCTTTTGTAGTACTCTTGTTAGGAATACTGGAGGTATTTTTAATATTATAACCAAGAAGATAGATGAATCATCACAACTAATTTTCTGATAACTATGCAATTGTCTTTTATTACCCTTTTATTATCACATATTAGGCTTTTATTCCTGTTAATACTGTGAAATATGGCAGGGAAATAATCTGCTTTCTTAGAGGGTGTGTATAAAATTCACCTCTCACTTTCATTACTTAACTTAGTGTCTTCTTTTCCTAGCTTTCCCATTTCCAACGTGTCAATGGGAAAAACATCACCATGAATAAGAGACTCACTCTTTAAGGAACATTATTGTTAGCTAAGTATCTTGGGCATCATAAAGAGCTGAAGGGTTATTTTTACAATGTTATAAACCAATCTTACTGCAATAAACAAAAAATTAAAAAAAAAAAAAGAGCTGAAGGGTTATTGCAACCCATTTTAGCTCTCAGAAACTTTTGAAACACACTGTTAAACGTATGAGGAGTCATATGGCTGTTCAACAAAAAAGGAACTCCTAGGACGTAGGTGGTGTCTCTTCCTTAAGGAATTGAAAGCTAGAATATCATAAACTGGCAATGTATGGCAGCCCTACAACCCCTCAAAAAGTAATGGTGCATTGCCTTTTTCTAATTGAACACTACTATCTTGTCTCCTCTCCACTCCTTTCCACCCAGGTTTACTATTACTCATTCTTAGCCTCAGAAATATTTAGAAACTCTGGTTTC